ACTCCTCTCCAAGCCTGGAGCGCTGCACCGTTCTTTCTGCACTGTTCTTTGGGCAGACCCCAATTCGCACCCCATCAGCCCCACGCTTATCACGCTCTACAACTCCTCCTCGCTCTCTACAACGACCTGAAGGGAGGTTGTAGTAAGGTGGGGGTCAGGCTCTTCTCCCAGGCAACTCAGGACAAGCCTGAAGCTTAGGCTGAAGGTTTAGGCTGGATTTAGAAAGCACTTTTTTGTGGAGAGGGTGACCAGGCACTGGAATGCACTGCCCAGGGAGGTGGTGGAGTCCCCATCCCTGGGGGTGTTTAGGGAAAGGCTGGATGTGGCACTATGGCCGATGTGGTGGTGTTAGGGGATGGGCTGGACTGGAAGAGCTCAGGGGTCTTTTCCAGCCTCGATAATTCTGTGGTTCTGTGGCAGCGCCTGCAGAGGCTGAGGAAGGCAAAGGGTGCAGCACAGGGAGCAGAGGGGACCACGCAGACCCCGTGAGTCTCAGGGGTCTTTTCCAGCCTCGATAATTCTGTGGCCTTCCTTCTGAGGAAGGCAAAGGGTGCAGCGCAGGGAGCAGAGGGGACCACGCAGCCCCCGTGAGCGGCTGGGCCCTGGTGTGTGGGCACAGAGAAGAGTCCACCCCGGTGCTGCTGCTGCACCACTGCAGGATGCAGCGGCTGCTGCGGGGGCTCTGATAACACCGCATGGCAGCGCTGAGAGGTAGCGCCTGTCCTGCAGAGCCAGGAACAACAAGGCCTATAATGAACACCAGGGCTGCCTCGGGCCGTCTCCTGCTGTGCAGCCTCTCCTCTCACCACCATCAGATGCCAGAAGCAGCAAACGCTCACACCAGTAAAGCTCTGCCCTCCCTCCCAGTGCCAGTTTGGGAGCGGGGCCGGTGCACGGCAAAGGGGGCAGAGAGGGGAACCCTCGGAGCTGGCACAGGACCCCGGGTGGGCGCTCGGGAGTTACCCGCGAGGTCATGAAGAGCAGCTTGGTCTCCATGTCCGGGGTGAGGCGGCACGCCAGGAACTTGCGCGAAGTCCGGGACTGCAGGAGCTGCAGGACACCTGGGGAGAGACACAGAGGTCGGGCCCTGTTGGCCGGGATCTGGGCAGGGATCTGCCAACAACATCTGCAGTGAGCACAGAGCAACGGGCTCTGCTTCCCCAGAGCAGGGCGGTGCAGAGGGATCGAGGTTTTGGCTGGAAAAGGTCTCCTAAGACACCTCCTGCTCAGAGTGAGCTTTTCTCGGAGATCACTAATGGGGATGTGAGGACGCGGGGTCTGGGGAAGGGCAGGGGCAGGATCTGGAGGAGGAGTGAGAAAGTCCAGACGCCGGGTCCAAGCCGTAACCAGCAGAGCACATTCCCCATCTCCCAGCCCCTGGAAACCACTCGTCCCACCCCGGCCGATGGCTTTGGATGGACCACAGGGCCCAGCACTGCACAGCAGGGCTGGAGTGAGCTGTGAACCGCAGATGCACCCTTGCTAGTCAAAAACCCCAAGGGAGGGACGGGTCCTGCGCCTGCAGCCACCCCCGCTGCGGCCTCCCCCCTGCTCGCTGCTGCCGAGCGCCGGCCCTGGTTTTGGGAACACCGAGCTCAGCAGGGAGCAGTGACAGGGCCTGCAGATGGGGGAGAAGCCAGTGAAGATGGAGCTGAAGGAGCATTTAATCAAACCATCGCTGCGAGATGATCTGAGCTCTTTCGTGGGGCGTTAACACGGCCCCTGGGAGGAGCGGGCACCGGGGGGGGACACTTTAAAGCCTCATTTCTGACGAGTCGCTGGAATTGCTGCAGATGAGTAATGATGTGACAGCCTCTAGAGCTGGGAATAATTGATACCAGGAAGAATTATGAACATAACGCTCTCTCCATCACGTCTACTTTAACCCAAACACTGCAGAGAGCTCCATGGCCAAGTGCTCAGCACGCCAAGGCTACCGAGAGAAATAAATCCCATCTAGAAAGAACCCGTTCCTGCATCTTCTGGGCCTCTTCCTTCAGCGCTGAAGGGCTCAGACGCTTCCTACCCCAGGCTCCAGCTCCAGCTTATAAATCAAGTTAATTAAAACAGCAGCAGCTACCATCATTGCAGTGTAAGTCCAGAAAAGCACTGCAACCTCATGACCCCTGTGCCCAGCGCTCTCTCTCTGTCACTGCGGCTGCTGAAGGATCTGGTTTTTGGGATGGTTTAAAGCCCAGATGCCCACAAGGCCTCTGCAGTGTTTAAATAAATGGGAAAAGCTGCCAAGAGCTGGAGATGACCATGGCAGAACGGCCCAGCCCTGCCCTTGGTCCCAGGCTCTCCATAGCCAGCACAAAGCTGCTTTTGGAGGCATCTTCCTCTAGGGCTGAGAGGGGCTCTGGAAGCGACCCCATGGGTCTTGGTGCTGGTGGAGGTGGGATCCTAGGGTGTGATCACAGCAATCTCTGTGTGCTCTGGGAGCAAATGGAAGGAACCCAGGCACCCAATGTGGGGTGCTGTGATGGAGCCGGGGTGGGTGTGCACGGGTGCAAACGGCTGCAGCACGGGGTTTGGGCTCCAGCAGGGCGGGCCGGGGCCGCGGTACCTGTGAACTGCGCGCTGAGGACCTGCGGGTTGTGGATGATGTCCTTCCAGAGCTGCTCGAACTCGGGGATCCTCGCCACGTTCTGCAGCAGCCGTACGAGGTCCCGGCCGATCATGAAGCAGTCCATGAACTGGGGAGAGGAGAGGAACAGACACGGTTCAGTGTTTACCTGCAGAGGGAGGCGGAGGGGAAGGCAGGAACACTCAGTCCTTCACCTCCCGCGGCTCCAGATGATTCACTCTCTGCACAGCCTCTGTGCCCTGCCCTGGCAGCCTGCCCCCCTTTTGAAGCCGGCAGGTCCCGAGCGGCAGACGGGAAGGCCAGCGGCTATTTTAGAATGTTCCCTCTCTTGCAAAGCAAACAATCGGCCCATAAATCTGCCACCTTCTCGGCAGGACCTCGGCCAGGCTCTGAAGTTAGGGCTGGATGTGGGCCCTGCCGCCCTGGGAGGAAGGGGAGAGCGGGCAGGGAGCTGCTGAGCCATCGCTGGACACAGGGATGGGACACAAGGACGCTGGACACAAGGACAGCGGACACAGGGATGCCCACACCAAGCTTTGGTGGCTTCTCCTGTGCAACACGGACCAAAATGCAGCCTGGAGCTGGGTACTGTGCTCTCCATGAGCCTATGAGGGCACCGGCTGCCTCCCTAAGGGAGGACCTGATGCTCCTGCAGCTCTGGTGAGCCCTGAGGTGCTGCAGCAGCGGAAAGCAATGGTTTCACCCCTGGTGGGATGAGTAAAAGAGACTGAAGTGAGGCAGCCCCAACAAACCTGTTGCTCTCCCCCGTCTGCAGCCTGCTGGGGTAACTGGTGTAAATGGGTTCAAAAGCCCTACATGGCCTGTGCTGAGTGAACCACGCAGCACTGCCTGCATGGGGCAGCCTGGGGGTGACTCTGAGCATGGCACAAGGACACGGGCAATGCCACCCCGTGCAGAGCCCCCAAGGATGCAGGACTCTTCCCCGTGCTCACCCGCTCCCGCAGCAGGGAGATGCAGAAATCCACCTCCTTCTGACGCAGCGCCTGCAGCTGAGAGGTGCCGTGGTGGTCCACGATGAGCCGCAGGTAGGTGTACACCGCCATGGCTATCAGCAGGCTGCTTTTCAGCACCCATTCTCTGCAAAAGAAGCACAAAACCATCACTTTCAGCCGCCTCCGCGAGGAAACCACAGCCAGAAGTGACATAAATGTAGAGGAAACTGAAGTACGAAGGAGAGGAGCAAGGGCACGGGCTGCAGCCTGGAGAACGCCCATGCATGGAGCATCCCTGCTCCACACCGGGGCTTGCTGTGCTGGGGTTCACCTCTGCAGCCACAGCAGCCTCTTTGCCCGTCTCCATAGCCACAACAGCACCAGTGAGAGTCCAGACACCAGGACCAGGGACCTTCCTGGACAACCAGACCCCGAATGCTGTCACACACCCTCACAGGAGGCGTTTCCATGCTCTCCCACTGCCGGGTGGATTAAACCAGGAAAGATGTACAGCATCCCAAGTACAGCAGCAATTGAGCCCTGCGCCGGGCTGGGACACAGTCCCATGCAACCAGAGGAGCAGAAAACCACCTTTCCTTTGCCCCACTGGAGCAGGGTTTCGAGGAAATCAGCATTTGGGGCTTTTTCCTCGGCCGCCGCAGCGTGTCCAGCTTTGGCTGGGTGGGAACAGGACAGGGCAGGACGAGGGGACCAGCGAGCAGCTCCTGCAGCCACAGAGGACCCGCAGGTTTCTGAGCCCAGCACAGGGCTCTGTACCCAGGAGCAGCTCTCTGGAAGCGGATTTATTTCTCCTCCACCTCGCTTTGTGCGGACAGAGCGTTTCCACGCAGCGTTCCCACTGCTCCTGCGGCAGCGCCCCGTCTGCCGGGCTGTTCCTGCCTCCCTTATCTACGCGCCGCAATAAATCCTCTCGCTCCATAAAAAGGAGCTCGGTTATTTGCGCCGGCTGCCAAGAGCTCGGTGCCTGCACCGCGATGGATCCCCGCAGCCCTAAATCAGGAGCCCCACGGATCTGCCACCGCTGCAGCCCCACGGCCCCGCATCACCGAGGGGCCTGGAAGATGTGACGAGCGTCGCTTTCCCAGGATTCTCTCCCAGCATTGATCTGGATGTAGGGAGCAGGTTAATTAGCGGGCTGGAGAAGGTTAATTAGCAGGCCGGAGCAGGTTAATTAGCAGACCGGGCGCGCTGGCCTGGCACACAGCAGAGGTTACGTATGGGAGGATGTGGGAGTAATTGGGGCCGGGAGCCCTGGTGGGGCAGGTCAGCGTCCCCCCCTTTTCCCAGCTGCAGAGATCAGAAGCTGTCGGAGGGGGCAGGAGCTGCAGGACCCATCAATTGGATGAGGAAAGGAAAACTCCCCGGGCTGGGGAGGCAGCGCTCGAGCAGCAGCTTTGCTGTCACTGGTGTTAATTAAACAAGCGTCCGGCACGCCAAGTGTGCCACCGGATCTCCACACGCGGGGCTTTAATTAAAGCTCTGGCTCTCCCCTCATCAAAGCGCACAAATCCCAGCAAAGAGCCGCAGGTTCTCCCCTGGGCTGGCTCCCAACGCTCGGCTCTCCCCGTGCCCAGTTTGTGACGAGCTCCAGTGACAAAGCTCGGCTGGTTTCCAGCGCAGGGGCTTCCTCCTGCAGACGCGGCTTGGGAACCCCACCAGGAGCTGCAGTTTCTCCCCCAGCCCAGCCGTTTGCAGTTATTGGTTTACTGCAGCGTGCTCTGGCTGCCGAAATGCTCCAGCACCAGCGCATGGGGAGGGCGCGTCAGGAGCTGCAAGGGCTTAAACACGGTTGGGAACAGCAGAGTTGAGCTTAGGGCGAAGGCAGGAGGGGAAATAGCGCGAGGAGCCAGGGGTCTTGGTCTCAGAGGGTCTCTGTGTCCCAGTGCAGCGCTAGATGGCACTCGCACAGCTGTTCCCGGAGGAAAAGCAACACAAATCAGTGGGCCTGCTAGCTGTGGCCAAATAAAAGCTTTAACAGCTCCACTGCTCAC